GGGGGCAGCAGTCTCCACCCAAATCACACTGCACCGTACCTAAACCTTCCTGTAGGTGGTGAGTCCACTGGAAGGTACCAACCACCCTAACTGGGATTCAAACTTGTCCAGGAGGTGAACCCCAGGGTTCCACACCAATGACAGAGACATTGCCTCTGGGCCAAAGCGCCACATATAATAATATTTCAAAAGGTTTTTGACTGATTATTTATCCAGACCTAACCTGACAGAAACATTTGTGAAAGAAGAAACTCAAAGGTAGAAAAGTTTTTTTATTAAACATTCCCTTGAACTGGTAAACAAAACGTACATTCTCAGAAGGTCAGTTAACTTGGTCACTTCCACTGGGTTTCGGTCTGTGGCCGTGCAGGCAGTTATTGTGCTCAAACAGATTTTTCTTTTTACATCTTTTTAACTTTACATCACAGTCATACAGGGGTGAAATCATAAAAACTTTTTTTTTTTTTTGGAAATCCCAGGTTTAGAACTGTTCTTTCATTCGGGGTGGCTGTGGATTAGCAGGTAGTGCAGTTGTCTCACGATCCATTCAAGACTTGGCCACCTCCTGCTGGCCTTGCTATTAATCAATAAACGCCAAAACATTGTTTTGCGAGAGGCCACCCGGACTTAACAGACCATTTACCATTAGCATTTCTACTCATGCAGAAAATCTTTTTTTATACCCTCTAATATACTCACAGAAGAGCCAACGGTTTTGATATGCAACTACAAATGGATATGTATAATGTGTGTAACAACATTCACATTAAATAACAAAAGGTTTAATAAATAATAAAGTTGTACAAATCCCAACGGTCTTCTTTGATCGTTTGTTGTTTTTTTTTTGGTACGTATTTACATGGTGACGCTGACATTTAGAACGGAAGTGGAGAACGTTAAGAACGAGTGTTTGAAGAGCACCTAAAAAACAGTATGACTATGTTAGTGCCTTGAGGAGTCCCATCTGTATCATAATACAATACAAGCAACTGTTCTGCAGGGTGGTGTTTTTTTGTTGTTTTTTTTTGTGCTGCATTTCAACAGGTATGCAGAGGAGTTTGAAAATGTAATGCTTTAAGTGGTTACAGTAATTTTACAGCTTTAGGCCGAGGATATATAAATCAGGGCTTGGAGTTTAATATATCTTATTACGCTAGTTAGCTTTTGCTGTTGGTATTGGTCAATGGAAGATGGTCTGAATCCAAATATTTTAGAACAAAATTTGATTTAAAAAAAAAAAATACTGCACATTTATTCCCCAATGGCAAAATGGTAAATGTAAACATCTTTGTTTACACTGAGCAGTTAAGTTAGCTACACTAATTTAAGCCCTTGGAATGTATTTCTGAAAATGTTGCATGTTAGCTTCCAGAGCCTGGTCTGCTAATGTTTTATCTGATAAGACCATCTTCAATATAACACTATCAAAAAAAACTAAAACTTCTACTCAATGTCAGCTGTGATTGGCTATAGCGCCCCCAGGAGTTCTGGACAGAATTAAGCGGTAGAACATAAAGAAATGACTTTCTCATTCATAAACTGGTTTACACACTTAGGGAAAAGAAATATCAGACTTACTTCACTCTAGGTAGGCAAACTAAGGCCCGAGGGCCGGATGCGGCCCATTCAGCTTTTTAATCCACCAAACTTTTCCAAATTATATAATTTATTTATATTATCATTATACTTCTGCCTTCTCCCTGCCATACCCCTGTGTTTTTAGAAATGGACATGAAGGTTTACGTCTACATTTTCTGAATTATCTACAATAAATTATTCTTAATTATTGACCAGACACTACTTTCCCTTCAATGACTGCATTCAAAGGCCATTGTTGTTGTTTAAAAATATACACCTGAACCTGCAAAAAAAAAAAAAAAAAACCGGCCGTGCAGTCTGATTGTGAAGCATCCACTCTAATAAATAAAAACTCCGAAGTAATAACACAAACCGATTCTTTATCCACACTGTGAGACCACCTCACAACAGCTGTGGTTCCAAACGAAACCAAATAAATACTCAATAAACTGAGGAAATAATCAACAATTGGAAAAAAATAAAATAAAAAGACATTAGTTGCAGGCCTAGAGTGTATATAAAAATGGACCAAGTCATCCAGTTGCATTTTTGTTTTTTTAGATTTGAGATACATAGATTTGGAATCAAATGTGACTTTTTTTTTATATCAATACTAAATACTAGGGAAGGCTCAATAAATAAACAACTTTATCATGTACGATATTGATACCGCAACTTGGAGTATCGCTGAGGCGATAGTGTCCCTGTTTATGGCATGTCGCACAAATAATAAAGTTGAGCATTTGAACCTAAGTATTGCATCGTACGCACTGAAGTTTTTTTTTTTTTTTTCGATATTCAATCCGACTCTGATCCTGAGTATCGGATCATTCCAGTCAGTCCATTTCTTATATAAAGTCTATGACTGCATCCTAATTAAGACAAAAAAAAAAAAAAAATTAGTCCTACATACATACAACATAAAAAAATATCTCTGCAGTTTGTGCAGACACTATGTCGCCATATTGGAAAATTGTGCAATATTATTGATATTGGGTTTTTTTTAAGACTTTTAAACAGAGCAAGAACTTGAAAATCAAAAGTTTTGTCCAGTCCAAAAAAAAAAATGCAAAAGGTATATATGAACAAGATGTAGCAACACTTGCACCACACTCAACATAGGTTGGACCTTAAAAAAATCTTACAAAATCGTAACTTTAACAGCTTATGTATAACCGTGTTCCTGTAGTGCCATTTAGATATTTAGGTATATCAACCCCTGGTGGGAAAACAAGGAATTTTTAGGAAGGCTTTTTATAAAGGTGACCTGGGTAATTTAAAATAAAAATATATATATATATATAAGAATAAATTAAAAGGACAAACTGTGGACGTCACAGGTGACCGTCTCTGCATATCAGGTCCCGTGTGTTCCTGCAAGACAAACCAGAGGGTTTAGGTCAATGAAAATCATTTAAAAAAAAAATCCAATGATAACAGTGATGTAGATACTGTATGTAGCATATGAAATAGTTACAACCATAACTTAATTTAAAAAAAAAAGTCAAGTGCAATAGACAGGGTTTTCTGACTGTCTTGTAAAACGTCAGTGGGTGTAATGCTCTTGTGCGTGAGCTGCTGCCACCCAGTGGACTAAAGACATTACTACGGTACTACAACAACAACCATATTGTTACAAAATAGCTAGCATACCTATTCTATTGCACAATCTCAAAAAAATACGTGGCATGCTAACTCAGAAAAGAGTTAGTGCTGAGACTATAGAGACTTTGACAAAATAGCTACCACAACAATAATAATTATAATGTTAGCATTAAACTTGAATTCTATAACAACAACAGAAATGTCATATGAGACCGATTTTCTTTTTTTTTAACATGTTTGTGAAGCTCAAACACTGTCCACTATCAGTTTGACACCAAGGACTTCAACTGCACCAGATGAAATCATCGTCTTTAATGAGACATCAGTGCCGAGCTGGTGCTTTCTGATGTTGCAGCAATACATGCAACAATGTTCGGGGTAAGCGTACGAGGGAAAACGCGGCATAAATGTTTAATCTGACTGAACATGTTCCGATGTAGGACCTCATAATGAAGAAGTAAATTAATAAATATTAGGGCTGTGCTAATTGATGTGTTAAATACGTTAATTAATTTATGGAATGAATCAGAACACACAATGTAGTTTGACACATTGGGCACAATGACGCACACTGTACATCCAATAATCCTAACACCCATTTACTCGGTCATTGGTCTAATACACGTTCAATACATTAGTTATTATTTGCATACAATGCACAAAATAGTTGTAGCTTCACCAGCGCACTTCAGGTTTAAAACACCATCAATGCCCAGCATGTGTGGAGGCCTCAGCTTTAGGTCAGACGTCCAGCTTCTGACCGACATCACTGAGCTGAGGGCAGTAAATAAGTCAATAAGTCATCACTAATATTGACTGACAACTGTCAGATGAATTGTGAGGGTTTCCAGACTGGTTAATATCGTCATGTACAATGGCTTTACTGTAGTTATAAAAGCAACGCGCATTTAAGCCACCGTCAAATACGAAAGGATGACTAAATTTGAGTAACGCTTTGGCATATTTTTCTTAACCTTAATCGATGTATTAATATGGAAATATCACAAATAAAATACATCTACCTGCTGTAATTTGTCTCTCTGTTCCAGCAATTTACAAAGACGGATTTTTTTTGGGTCACATTTAGGAATATTTGTGATTAATGGTGATTCATTTACAGCTACCCTGTGAGTAATCGGACCAAAACTTTTAATCGCTGGACGGCCCTTATCAAAACATGATATAAATCAATCGACAGATTTCTTGAATATGTCCTAATTTCTTGCATCTTCCCAAGATTTTTAGTTCTAGTTGCACCGAGGAATTTCCATGTTTTATAATGTCAAGAGTCAATGTCTCTGTCATTGGTGTGGAACCCCAGGGTTCACTTCCTGGACAAGATCGAATCCCAGTTAGGGTGGTTGGTACCTTCCAGTGGAGGGAGGTTCAGGGAGGTTGGTACGGTGAAATGTGATTTGGGTGGAGGCTGCTGCCCCCACGACCCGGTAACGGATAAGCAGATGAAAATGGATGGATGAATAACATTTAGTTTACAGAGTTAAACTACACAGAATTCCCCCCCAAAAAAAGACAAAACGAAAAAAAAAACAAGTTTGGTCAATCTTTGGTGTATTGCGCCGAGTGACGTCGCTTGCTGTCGTTTGTTACGAGAAGTTTGCACGGGAACCAGTTGGTGAGCGTACGTCATAATAAATCTAATTTCTTAACAAACTGATGGGAGATGGCGACTTAGCCACAAAATGTCCTCATAAACGAAGTATCTGATACTTCAAGAAGGTAATGTATTGACTTACATACCTGTCAAGCTACCACTGTGCTGCTGGAGTTGGCTGGTAAAGAAACGTTCCCGCTGGGACACCTGCTCGTCCCAGGCCTCCAGTATTTGCTGTCTTTCCCCGTTGTCCAGGGTCAGAGTTTCCGGGTGAGCGTCGCTGATGTGGGACCGAGCACCCTCCACGCTGTGGGTGTACTGCAGCTCCCCGCACACCATGCACACCAGCAGCTGGTTGAGTGGGTCGTAGTCCATGAGGTAGTGATTCCTCCACATGGCGTAGGACTCGGAGGTTTCCTCGCCGCTGTTGGTCTCGTAGTCGGCGAACAGCATCGCTGACTCATCTGCGTCCACAGTGGAGGGAGAGAAAACTTAGTTAGTTTAGTGGTTTTTACATATTGTTGGAGCTTTAAAGTCTGATGTCAAATGGTCCGCAACCTCTGGTCTGCGGACCGCTACCAGCCCATGGACCATTTGGTACCGGGCCCCAGTGAAATATTGAATTATTCACTTTCATTTCTTAAAGAGAATTTGGTAGATACTAACAGAACAGAGTATAAAAGATGTTTTGTTTTGTTTTGTGTTTTAAATGCCAATCAATGATGACTGAACAATCCTTGGTACAGAAAAGAATAGCTGATAACGTTTCATTAAGACACTTCGAAAGATAACTATTTCCTTTTACTTTGTATAACATGTAGTTCAATCTGTACTTGAGGTAGTTTTTACTTCGATTTATCGACTGCTACTGAAATTGTCTTAAACAGTTTGGCTGATTCGCCGATCATTTGTGCTGGCAAAAAAACAGATCTTGTCTGTTTTGGAAAAAATAGTGTTTTTAAACCTTGCGTTCGTGGCCCCATGTGGAGTCGCTTGGATCTCAAATGGGGTTACCTGAAATGTCTAGTTATCTAACTTATCAAAACAAATTGCTGATAAAAAAATATTATTATTCTTTGTTAAATTGTGATTAAAACCACCACACAATCTTTAACAATTGTATCTGTTCACCCCGAGGCATTGGTGTCACATGCCAAAAAAGGTCGGTCACCACTGGCTTAACGCCTTCATCGGGTTCCTACGACTTAATGGAGGAGAAATTTGAGACTTTTTTTTTTTTTTTACTGCTAGTCAGAGTGAAATTTAAGGCCAACAATATTTAATATATATTTATTTAGTGGCGCTTTGGCCCAGAGGCAATGTCCTCTGTCATTGGTGTGGAACCCCAGGGTTCACTTCCTGGGCAAGTTTGAATCCCAGTTAGGGTGGTTGGTACCTTCCAGTGGACTCACCCCCTGCAGGAAGGTTCAGGGGGGTTGGTACGGTGCAGGGTGATTTGGGTGGCGGTGGTGCAGACTGCTGGGCCCACGACCCGGTAATCAGATGAAAATGGATGGATGGATGATGCCACCAAAACCTATTAAAATTTGCACTTTTCAATCGTTTCCAATAGTCTCTTCTCTCTGGGTTCTCTCTCTATAGGGATTAGTGACTAAAAATGTAAATGTGAGTGTCAATTGTTGTTTTGTCTCTTAATGGCACCCGGAAAAGGTCAGGTGACCTGTCCTGTCCTGCATTAGTGATGTCACCGGGGGAGCGACTCAAGCTCCTCGCACAATCGTGAACAGCATTAAGTGGAAGAAGTTGCTGAGTGAGTTCGACAATGGAGTTGCTGTCCTTGTAATTATTAAGATTTTATATTGTCACATTAGCCATTAGTTTGGATTTACCTGTGTTGCCTCAAGTTAAAAAGCGTCAATGTCTCAGGCTAGTCCCTGATCCTCAGCGCTACAGCTTGTCACGGCAGTCATTACTAACGCATTCACACTTTTTACTAAAGATTTCCTTGATATACCATCAATGTCTTCCACTGGTGTCGTGTAATTTGAGAATGGAAACGCTCCTGTGTCGGCTGAAGCCCTGCAAGGAAAAGAGAACAATTCTATAAATCCATGTCCAATATCTTTATTGCGCAATAATCATGGGGAGAGAAAAAAAAAAAAAAAATCACATACCTCAGTAGATGCTGCGACTCATCGGAGGAGCTGACCCACTGTCCAGAGTCCTGGTGGAATTTAAAACAGAAGGAAACAAACGCAAAAAGTGTTGAAATTATACCGCATCTTTCAATCTTCGGAAAAAGAAACGTAATAGAGTAAAACCCACTTTGCATACCTGACAACGTACTAATATTGAGCCTAAATCACAAATAGCAATTAGAAGTGAATATGAAAAATAAATAAATAAATTGTAATGTCCATTTTTTTAAACGCCTGTTGATGTTTTCCCGAGATTACACTTTTTTTGGTTGTCTACTTTCACAATAAAAGAGAGGTAAATAAAGAGTTTGACACATTTTAAAAAGTCAGCAATAAAGGTAGATATAATAGAAGAATATAATTTGGTCACCATGGGATTAGACTGTGTCAAACTCAAGGCCCGTGGGCCGAATCCGGCCTATCGTTTTATGCGGCCCACCAGAGCTTCACATGTCTTAAAGTCTGTACTAAAGTTTAGTGGATAGGTTAAATGCATTGGACAATTTGTCTTAAAGTCTGTACTAAAGTTTAGTGAGCAGGTTAAATGCATTGGACAATTTCTGTGTTTGTAACAAATGCATGATGGGTAACAACTCGCTAACAACAACTGAAACCTACTGCTCTAATTCCAATTTGAATCAAATGTACAGTTAGCATAAAGACCATTTTTAATTTGAGACATAGCCTACAGTTTTTGAGCAACAATAGTATAGTTCACCTTGATCTTAATATTTTAAATTTCTTTTTTTTTTTTTTATTAATTTCATGAGAAGATTTCATGTGAGAAAATTCAACGTTGAAATTCACCCACTGAACGTGACTTCGATCCCTGCTGTTTCAAACTGCTAACACCCGGGAGAATGGTGTTCCACATAAACCTTTGTTGCTCATAATGGAACTACAAAAGTGAAATAATTAGCTGTAGCACACCAAGTAGCCAAATTAGCCTGTCTCGCATGGTCAGAAGTAGCCCCGGCATCCGCTAAACGTTTGCTAAATCTGTAGTCGATCGCCATCATGTAAACGTCACCTTTACTTAACACTTTTGAGATAATCCGATGAAGGTCCTTAACAAACCTGTGCGGGAAGTTCTTCTGCCTGGGACGTGGGCCTTCTTTCGTTGGACTCCCTCCTCACCCTGACTTCTTTGACATGAATGGCCTTCCTGGCTCTCTGCTCCTTCTTTTTTATCCTCCAATACTCCCGCTTCCTCCTCAAGAAGTCCTCATCAGACTCACCTGGAATGCGTTTTGGTGGCGCCAAGGAATTCGTAGACACCGGCTGAGTAGAACATGTGAGGCTCTGACGTTCAGGGCAAGGGATTTTTATGGGACTGAGGACGGTGCCCTGTGGAGTTTGACCGTGCGGTTCAATGGGCTGGAGTTTGATCCTGGACAAGGGATTGTCTGGAGGCTTTAAAGTAGGGAGGGTAGTCGCGGTGCTTGTAGATATCCACTCTTGACAAACGGGCGAAGTTTTTTGACACTTGGGCATGATGTATGGAGAACCAAACTCCGCGTTGACCCTCTCACTCTTAAATGAGCAGGAGATTTCCGCAAGGGTTTCTTCGGAGTGGCCGTCATTAATGGCTGAAGGATGGGTGTCTGCAGCCAAATGAGAAGTGGACGGAGTGTGTTGGAGAGCTGGTTTTGGATTAAGACCCTTAACAGTGTTGGTGACAACAACTGCTGGAGCCTGAAAAACAAGCAAAATAAGCCATGAACAAAGAACACCAATTACTTGTACTCATCTTGGGTTGTGAAGGCATTAGGACAACAATAAAATAATAAAAAATAATAATACAATGGACAGGACTGGTTTTGGATCATACAATACATTACATTCAACTTGGGCTTTGGCTAAACAGCACCTTTACCAGGCTGTATAACGTAGCTGGACAACTGCCTTGAATCCCAACAAGGACGTTGGAAAGACGCATTTATTTTTATTTGGCACTCTATATATTTGAAACTTAGTGAATCGTTTGAATGAGCATTGCTGACCGTTAGAAAAAGCCAAAGCCCTGAGCTTGAAATACCATCTCAACCCCCCAGCATATGTTTGTAGAGGCTTCAACCTCAGGTCAGACACCTGGCTTGTGTCAGACCAGGCGCACTGAGGCAGTAAAGCTGACTGACAATTGTGAAATGGATTTTCAAGGCCTGCTGACTTCTTTATTTTAGAGGTCCGTATCATTAAGCTTTGAAAGTAACTCTCAGTTTGACACTGTTAGGATAGAAACTGAAGTAGACCTACAGTAGAAACAGAATTCCACCATATGGAGTTTTTTCTCCATATGATAAGTAACTCTCAGTTTGACACTGTTAGGGTAGAAACTGAAGTAGAACTACAGTAGAAACTGAATTGCATGGAGTTTTTTCTCCATATGAGAATAATTCCATCATTTGGTTTGGTCCTCAATAAAGACATCTAGACATCTAAGATACAGACACATCTTCAAGCTGTTATTTGTCTTTCATACCTAAATAGTCCCATATTATGAAAAGTTGATTAATCACAATTACTCTTGATTAATCTTGGTATATTCCAATCATGATTAATCACGATTAATTGTGATTACTAATTTTCCGGAATATAAGTTGCATCAGCCAAAAAGTAGATAAATGAAGAAGAAAATAACATATAAGTTGCTCCAGTGTATACGTCGCACTATCGCCCTCTTATGGCTGTCAGTGTGAGAACAACCTACATGTAAATCTCCAGTAGTACAGGAGTAGCAGATACTGGTACACAAGCCTAGAGTGCCCTCTAGCGGCTGTCAGTGTGAAAATAACAAACATGTGAAATTATATATTTTAATATATAAGTCGCACCTGAGTCGCAGGTCGCAAACCCAGCCAAAAAAAAGTTTCCTGACTTATAGTCAGGAAAATACGCTAATCATTATTAATCTACTGCTAGTAGTGAAAAAAAAAAAAAAAATAAAACGTGAAACATTACCACTAGATTTGCTGTGGAATATCTTCTGCTACAATCTCCTTTCCTCTCCTTTTGCTGGGCCTTTAGTCGGGCTCTCTGCTGTCTTTTCATCAGTTTCCAGTATTCCCTCTTCCTCTGCAGGCTGGACAAGCCTCTGTGGTCCGAGACCACGTTAGTACAACTTCGTGTTGACGGTGATTTGTAGTTTTGAAGCTGGTCCCGATCCTGTTTTTTAAAGGACTGGTGCTGCGGGTGTAGCTGGTCTGTGGGTAAAAGGTGTAGCTGCGGTGGTTCTGTGGAGCAGCTTTCTTGTTTTGGACAAATCCCCGGGCTTGTGTGTTGAGAAGACGCATTATCGGGGGTGTCCACGTAGGGAATGATGATGACATTGGAAGGTGTTTGGGAGGAGTGTTCACATGTGGGAGGTGGAACTTCCTCCCTGGAGGCGGGTATTGGTGACCACGTCTCGCTGAATTGTGGCGAATCTTTGAGCTGAGGGCTTAGCGAACCCGCCTGCACCAAGTCCTCCGTGTCCGGCTGCCAGCTTGAGAGGTCAGAAGCCAGAGGAACCCCTTCGTCTTTTTCCAAGAGCAGCGGAGACAAATTTGGTTTAATTTCTTGGTCCTCGACATCCTGCTTTATCTCAGTTTTAACACTGGTCTGCATTTCTTTACAATCCGCCACCGTACTGAGGGATTCCTCCAGGAGCTTTTTCATCGAGGCCACAGCTAGCAGAGTGGTCGCTTGGGTGTCTCCGCTCAGAGCTGGGTCACACTCCGGCTGAGGTGCCGGTGGAGAGGTGGGGCTTTTGATATCCGGGCAGATGGCTTGTTCTGAACATGAATTTAGGTCAGCATCTGGCACAGACTCTGTCTCTTGTTTAATTGTATGTGCATTTGGTAGAACAGGCACACTGCCAACAGGCTGGGTTTGTGAAGTGGCAGTTTGGTTCGTACGACGTGTGCTCATGGCTACCGAGGTCACTGCTGCCTGTTTCTGAGCCCTTCTCCTCTGTAAGGCCGCGTTGACCCGGGCCTGTAAGACGCCCTGCTTCAGTCGCACCGCATGGGCCGCCCGCTGCTCGCGCTTCTTTATCCTCCAGTACTCCCTCTTTTTTGCCATTCTCTCCTCCTCTGACAGTTCCAGATCCGCGGAGGTCACCGACAGTGGCGTTGCTGTGCTACTTGAAATGGCCATTTTCCTGACGCAGCCGCCATCGTCGGACCCCGCGGCTGAACCCACAGAAATGACATCTTGAGAAGGTTTAGGGCGAATGGGAGTAAGCTTACAAGCAGAACGGACTGGTACCGATTGTGAATTATGACATGTGCTTCCATGTGGAGTCCTCGCTCTGAGCGAGTGCAGTTTTGGTAGTTTGTTAAAAGACCGCCCAGGAAGCGAGATTTTCACCTGAGGTGCGCATGGGGGAGCAGAGTATTGTCTAGTACCCTTTCTTCTTGTATACGGTTGATGTTGCGCTCGTGTAACAAAGGTATCATTTGAACCTCCGTGGAGTGCTTCATCACTAGCTGTGTGACCAACTGCAACATGTGGAATTTTATTGGTCAGTGTCCCATCCTCCTTGATGAACCCTCCAATGGCCTCGGAGGCTTGAGCAAGAGCGCCTCCTGCTGACCGTGCTAAACCTCTGGCCCTCCTCATCTCCTCTAGGATACTTTGGTAGCGTTTTACCCTTCGCATCAAGGAGTCCTTCTCTTTCAGGCGGGTCTTTACCTCACTCGTCAGCTTAGCTCGCTGCTCGCGCTTTTTTACCCGCCAGTACTCTCGGCGTTTTGCAATGATCTGTTCAGGTGTGTCGTTGGGGTCTATCTTGGGGATATTTGTAGTACTGAAGAACGAGGCAAGCAGGGGTGATTTACATCTCATGTTTCTCAGATTCATGAAATTCTTCTGAGCTTCAATGAACCTCTGTCTGGTCGTCTTACATCGCACAAACCCTCGGCTTACATTAGACAGATGAACTGAACTTGAAAACCTCCTCGATGACTCCCCTAGTATTTTCACAGAAATACCGTCTGATGTTTGTGCTGTTCTGACACCCTGTGGAGTCTGGCCTTTTGTCTGCAGATTGACAGTTGTGAAACATTCTGTCACGCCTTGCATTTTATTATTTTCCTTTTTGGCAGACGCTAATGTAGCTTTGACTCGAGGAGGACACTGCCTTTGAATGCCAGCTTTCAACTGGACACGCTGCAGAGGTAGGGCACCCATCAGTCCGGTCTTTTGCGCGGTTGCCTTCTGCATCTCCACGCCGGCGGCTTGTGTCCTCACCTTTCCTGTCCGCGCTGCGAGTCTTGCCCTCTGTTCTCGCTTTTTGATGCGCCAAAGCTCTCTGCGTTTGGCTGCTCTCTCCTCCTCAGACTCTGTGGAAGGGTTGGAGATGCCATTGCTTTTAGCCCTCAGAGTAGTGGCCAAGGCACTCTGGGTTTCCTGTAGAAGTGTTGCATTTGTTCTAGCTCCCTCTGTTGTTACAGAGGTGGTATCACGGGTAGAAAACACAGGAGTCATACCAGCGCTCATGTCAGCAGGTGAGGTTTTTTTCGTATTGTGGGATGCATCTTGCTCCTGGTATTGCATGTTGGGGTCTGATGACTCAGACGTTGTCGGTTTGCAGCTGCCATTGGAGATTTGGGTCACGCTGAGGGGAGGCACTTGAAAGGTGGTGTTCAGTGGGGAGTCACTAGGTGCAGGCGAGGTAACGGCTTTGTCCACAGCCTGTTGTTTGACTGTGGCTGTATTGTTTTCAGTTGTGCATGAGGGTGACAACTCAGGCAAGATTGTGTTTAGTGAGGCTGGCGGACAAATCCACTTCTTCTTTTGATTTTGAACAGCCTTACAGGAATTCTGCAATCCGTGAGCAGCACTGGGTAATGAGAACGACTCGTCCCTCTTCTGTGTGCGAGACAAAGGAGCAGCTACAGAGACAGAAGAACTGGAATTCCTCTCTTTCGACATACTTGCGCGTTGTAACTGTTCTCGTCGTCTCTTCTGCTTGGATGTCATTCGACATTCCGCACGTCGAGCTCTCTGCTCCCGCTTCTTGGTTCGCCAATATTCTCTCTTCTGGGCAAGAGTGGCATCATCATAGTCTGATGCCGGCCGGTAACGGGTTGACATCGTGCCACCTTTATCTTTTGCAGTTGGCATACTGTAGCCAGCCTGGACAGCACACTGCTACGCAGCCGACACTGATCAGTCCATGCTTTCAATCCAGACTACATTACTGACATTAATTGTGTTGCATTTCTTTTGAAAAAAACACAATAGGTCGAATTACACCACTGAAAAGTTGGCGAAGGACATCACATTGGCGTGCAGGTGACCTGGAGAATAAAGAATAAACATTTTAGAACAGAAGGTGGCAGTAAAGCAAACAGAGCCAAACCAATATAACACGTGTCAAACTCAGGCCCGGGGGCCAAATCTGGCCCGCAGTGTAATTATATTTGGCTCACGAGATCATATCTAATGTGTACTAGAGTTGGCCCGCCAGTACATGCCTGTATATACTGGCAGGATTTGTAGTATTAGTGGTGTATGTGCTATGTTATTCACATACATTTTGGTTTTTCTGGTGTTGGCCTGTGAAATAAAGATTTACATTAAAAAGGAACTCGAAAGGCTACAGATAAAGAGACATCATAAGAAACAAATACTACTGATGTGTGTTTTATTTCAAATTCTAGTTTAGTTTATAATATTAAGCTTTGGTTGTGACAGTGTTTATGCAAAAATAAGGTTTGTTTCCATATGAAAAAATCTACGTTACATATCTGGAGAAAAGGGAAAACATGCACAACTGGCATTAATCGTTTTAATAAATATTAACTTTGGCCCCGTTTTTAATTTTGTCCAAGTGCGATTTTGAATTTGACACCACTGCAATACAGAGTCGCTGTAGTTAAAACACCTTGACTTTAATTGTAAAATGAATCTGACAAACAAATATCATATTTCCTAACTGTTAAATCTGGTTGTTTGTTATTAACAACTTAGCGGCTTCAAGTGATGTTCAGAGAGAAAGAAGATAAAGACTTATCGGTTCTTATATTCTGGTATTTTGGGCATCTCTGAAATGTTATTGAGCTTGTTTCTTTCTTCTGTTTCCTATGTCACGGATAAAGGTGCACATATAAATCTCATACTGTAACTTGGTCAAAACGTATTGATCAAATACAGCCACCCACGGACATAGATGTCAGGGGAAACCCAGCAGGTCTAACACTTACGTTTCTGTCAGTATTGACTGCACAGTGGCTAGAAAGAACGTTTAATGGAGACAGAACATAAATATTGCTAACACTTGGGTTAAAATGGAGTTGGTCTCCATGTGTGCTGTGATATTCAAATTTCTCTCTAAACCCTCAGAAGTGAGAGGTCAGCAATCAACATAGACCTTAGGTTTTTTTTTTTTTTTACCCTTGTAGTCCTTTAAAAAATAATGTAAGAAAAAAATTACAAATCTCTGCTGCATGGGCTTTATTAAATCATTTTAAGCCCCCCCTCGCGGGCCACTGAAAATGACTTGGTGGGTCACATTTGGGCCTCAGAGTTTGACACATGTGAGACATGCTCATAACAGGCTGCCCCCAGCAGGCGCCAAGCATGTGGTTCCTCTGGGAATGGAACCCAGGACTCTGTGCTGTATTGAAGATATTTAACCCAATAATAATAGATTTTTCAATTATTCTCCCAACTTCATTTCTCTTACTCTCCTGGTGCTGTTTCTCAGATCCCACAGAACCACTGCAGCAGTGAAACCTACTTCCGCCGACTGTTTAAACCGTTCCAGGTGCGGCAGAAGACAAAGCACAGGCACTAAACGCCCTTCGCCCGAGCACAGCACTTGTACAGAGTCAATTCCGTGAGACATGTAGCAGACTTCGTCTCACTGGGGTGCTCGAAATTTTTTTTACTGCAACGTCCACTGATGTTCACGTGTACAATGTTCTTCCCTCGGCGTCCGCGGTGACACGAAAACGCCGCGTTCTGTCTGATGGAAGTGAGGGATACCGAGATACGGGGGACACAGGAAGCAGGAAGGAAGCGAAGTGACACTGTCCCTTTAAACATGTCCCTTTCTTTCAAACAACCCTATCTACCGAGAGCCATTTCACCCTTTATTTAGGTTACATTTCAACACGAGCACAGCGAAAGACTCGCAGCGAGCATGGCTTGTGATTTTAAGCAGAGAGAAATTACCGCGTTGGAGCGGAAGTCGAGCAAAAAGATGTGTCTCGGTCAACCGCACAATAATGGACAGACATCTTCCTTCTCTTGTCCACCAGAACTGGCGCTTGACTAACTCTGCCGCCTGTCGGAAAAAAAACGGCCTCAAACCGCTACACAAAGCAGTGACTGCCCGGACATGGGGAATAAAAACATGCACACGTTTACCTTTCAGTTAGCACTAAGTTTTCGGGACACTTTAGCGAGGTGTTGTGGACGCATACGTTGGTGCCAGGACACTGCAGCTACTTTCCCTCCCCCTGCCTGCCGTGCTGAGGCTGACAACGCTCGCCAAAGTACCAGGATGTAGGACTAGGATGCTGGATATGTGTGCGTGGTCGTCCCCTAGTCTTTAGGAAGACCGACACCTAGCCCCAATAAGAAGGGGCGTAAATCCTTAGTAATGATAATTGTTAAGGTAAAGGTTATAGATAACATTGAGTCAGTTCAAAGTTTAAAAAAAAAGGTAGCTGCAGTAGTACAGTACACGTGTGTACAGTACTCGCACAATTCAGTAGTGATTACTATAGAAACCCCCATTGTGAGGATGGGGGTTTTGACATAGTGGGGGGAGATATTGCTGTTTTCAAAACAAACCACTACAGTAAGGAAAAGAAACAACGTTATCCAAGGTTGACCAGATTATTTCGGTTGTCCTAATGTTGCTAAGCACACCCTTACATTTATTATTTTTTTGTTTAGCTTGTAGCCTAGCTTTCAGCTGATCAGTCATTTAACTCAGGTAAGTCTTCAGTTGCGTAATAAGTGATACTGAGACACCACCACCAGAATATTACTAATAAAATTTCAATAACTATATATAAAGTATATAAAGGAGATGTAACAGACGTGGTACTTTGTGAATAACTAATAACACAGTGGGAAATTGTAAAAACTACAATTTTTTACTGAAGGTGAAACAACGGCCAATCGTTGTTTTTTTTTTTCAGCTCAAATTCTTCTGATTAGTGGTAGGAATTACAACTTCAGGAATGGCCCACTTTGGAATTGTTATCTAGAAATAGAAATAGATAATGTGCTTTTCCTGAAATTCTCCAAATGTGACGTTTTTTTTTAAATAAAACAACAAGCACAACAAGCAGTCACATTGTTAGGTCTCTCTCTGATGGCCTTTTTGGTAAAGTCCACACCAGCCATGGCAGCTGTTAACAACTTTATACAATCACCCGATGACACAATTCATCAGAATCCCTTTATTGGAGTTACTTAACAATGAACCAAGGATGGAAAAAAGCCAACAAGTAGGAAGCGGTAATCTTAATCAAAGGAAATGGGCAATTTCCGGGATTTCTCTAGTTTTATTCCAGACCGGAATTGGTCAACTACCATTGAACAGCAGTTGGAGGGGCCCTAAGAGTCACAGTGGAATCTAACTGTACTGTACAAGCATGATATTCTTTCTGTTCTTTGACAAGTAATCGGTTAAACATGAACATCAATGCATTGATTTTGCACTGGTTTTTTTTTTAGCAAGCTTTCATTTCATGATGTAGCTGCAAAAACAATCTCACTAACAATACTGCGGAATTACAGCAGTATGTGTTGAAAAGGATTGGATCCATTTTTAAGATTAAGATTTTTAAGTTATTAAGAGATATGTAGCAGTTAAGAATAAGGTTAATGTTGAGCTGGAATAAATAATTGTTTGTTAAATTTGTTAAGTAATTTGACCTTTATCTGTAATGTTGTGTTCAGTGGTTAATGGTTCTCTCCTTATGAAGAAATCTTTACGTTTCATTCACAGTGTGGTACTCTTTGTTGTAAATATATTTTTTTAATTTAAATGCTTATAATAAAAAATGAATGTGTCAACTGTGTCATGTCATTTTCTATTTTTATTTTTTTATATGTATGACTTATAAGCTAACAAATAAAATTTACATTTAAATGTCTGGTTTGTTTTTAATTATTTTTTTTTTTTAGAAAGGCTTTTCCAAATTTATACAACATTTGTCAAATTAGGTGTCAGCCCACTGAAAATAACCTTCAGTGAATTTAGGCAGGTCAATAGGGCAACAGTCACGAACAGCAATATTACCCAAGTTAAGCATTGGCGTCCAGTCTAAAGTTTCATTTGATGCATTTTACACACTTCCTACGTTAATATGTTGATTGTAACTGTGTGGTTTACAGTTCTACACCAACTGCGGTATTTTAAAAATCAAATTTTCCTCTGTGCCAGGTGACTGGCAATAAACTAAAATTTACACAAATTCATTTGTCGAGTGTCTCTTGATTATGTAATTGTGTGTTTTACAGTTTTTACACCTACTCTGATAAAAAATAAAAAAATAAAATAGTCATTAGGACCCAAACGACCTATAGAAGTGTGTTCATCATTGCCATGGTCACTTTAAACTTGACTTTGACATGGTCCTATTGACACATTTTACTATTGGGGGTAAGATTTTTGGTGTGAGAATAACAAACGCACGCATATTTCCTCATCGAAGTATCAGTGTCAAAAAAAAATTCCTTCAATTTTTTTTATTTTTTTTTTATATTTTGCAGCTCAGAAGATCCTGAGCCTAAAACAAAGCAACTGTAGGCTCCCATTTTAGTCTGTTGTAAGTTGTACACATAGCAGAGTATAACTCCCAGCAGTGGGTGTGTTGTTGTGGTCTTATTATGCGTTGTGGTCCATATAATGTGTCCATCAGCCGTGTTGTTGTGTTTAAATACCACATTGCGACACTTGGATGCACAAAAGAAGTCATTGTCTCGCCTTCCTTTCCGCACGAGGCAAACGGAACACAGTGCAGAGGATCATTACAAATCGCAACACGGTCTTGTTATGTAAAAGAAAATTGGAATAAATGAATTTTATTCAAACATTTTATTTACTTTTTTTTTGTCCTTCGGAGGAGGTTTTTTTTTGGGGGGGAGGGGATACAATAGATACAAATACACTCTGCGACCATGTACAATTATATCGCACTGCAATTATATCAACCGTGAAGAATGCACATTGAATCTTCACTTATTTATTTATTTGTATGTATCGGATGTATTTACTGTGGTCACCAGTATAGGGAGCTGGAGCTCTGTGGGGCCCTGATTTGACGTGGCCCCGCCCTCGGCCTGTGTAAACCGTCGACAGGCCACTGCAAACCGCCTGTTATTTCCTCCGAACAAACAGTATTAGTATTAACAGCTTATCTGCATAAGCGCCTGCTGCCGCCGCCGCTACCCCGCCCCGCACAGTCACGCATTCACGCACACGGGGCGGGCAAGCTGCGCCGACGCCGCTGCTACTGTCTCTTTAAATTTACCCAGGAGCCCCTTAAGGAGCCCCAGGGGCCCCTAGTCCGGCTCCCCACCCTGAAGACAAGCAAGAGCCTTAAAATCCACGAGTGTCGGCCTGCGCGAGGCTCTTTCTCGCCGAGCGGTAACGCGCTGCGGGCTGGGTTTTGCGGGCCATTCCACGCGTGTGTATTTGTATGAAAAGTTAACTTCGCTCCGGTGAGGGGGTCCGTGCGGGGTGGGGTGGGAGGGGGGACAACGCAAGAGCCCGGTCTCCGCCGCGCTCATAACCGCGGCGATGGGCTCCTTATAGGAGATGCGTGTTTCGATGCGAAGTGAACACGTTGGTGTTGTGACATGTTGTTGTTGCGGTTGTGAGACTGTCAAGTCCCGCTACGGCGCCACCGACACGGTGACGGAAGGAGGAAGACGAGGCGGTGTTTCAAGAGCAGCCGGGGCCGCTGATGGAAGAGCCAGAGTCCGCGGAGCAGCCGGAGCTGCTTTCATTAATAATAAGCGGAGAGGAGGAAGCGACGCCAGAGGAGAGTGACTTAGGAGGTAAAGGTGGAGGCAGTGAGGGGAGAAAACTCTCGGTGTTTTTTTGCTGTTGCTCTGACTGGTGCACTGTGTAGTTGTCAAAACCACGGCTATTGTCACGCAGCTTGTGAAGTCAGTGTCGGGGACAATGCCGTGGAGCAGCATGGCCCCTGTCTCTGTGGCTCCTATAAACAAAGGCTCAACAGCACACAGGCAGAGCAGACAGGTACACGCTGCTGCCACCCAGCGGTCAGCGGCCTCATAGTTACCAGGAGTAACAGAGTACAGTACTAAATATGGCCTGTAGACTGAAATGAGCTGCATATAAATCAGTGACGTTCTAACAAAACATTTCCTCTGCTGTAGAAGCAGGCTAAGTAGCAGGAGCTGTTATATATATATATATATATATATATGTCAGTACAAACCTTATTTTCTGGCACACTTGCTGTGGGTAAACTTGTATTTTGGTAATGCAGTTTAACCTCCATCAGTAAAACACTGACTTTTAATGTTTTGTTTGTATGTTTTACCAAGACTGTTTCATGTAAACTGATGAGTTAGGATAGCCTTCTGCTGGTGAAACATTTACCATATTATTGTATAACTGACTTCAGCTGCAAAATAATTGTTGGTCATTGCCGTTTGACTTTCGTCTTCAAAACATGCCACCGATTTTTATAAGGAATCAGGCTTGGAAATGTTTTGTTTAAGATGAGGCCACGTTCTTGATGTTATTTCTATCGGAGAGCTACAATATAAATACTTGTTATACAGAACATGCTATGGCTAGTAACACAGCCAGATGTTAGCTTAGAATGGATTTTCCCCAATTTTTTTTATATAAACGAAGTCTTCCTATTTTTTTTTTTTTTAAAAAACCTGCTAAAGCATGTTCTCATCAGACAACGGAACCTTTTTTTTTTTCCTCTCAGTTCCTCTTAAGTCACCCAAGGCCCAAAGAGAAGCACAGTATCAGTGGATGTCATCTAGAGCCCTAGTCTACTAGATTCTAATTCAATATAAAACAAAGGTTCAAAGGTCCGGTACTTTTAGCAGTCACCTCCCTTTTAAATACCTTTGAACACAGATACTGTATGTTAATGAAAGTAAACGAGGCACTTAAATTAGGAACAGTGGTTTGGTTTTATGGTTTTGGTTTAACAGGTGCGACTTTAAAATAATGGTAGAAAAAAAAAAATCAAAGACGGTCAGAAGGGCCTACGCTGACATTTGGAGAAGGCATTTGACATGGTTTCTAAAGAGAAATTCTGGAGTCGTGCATGGCGGTCAGGAGTGGATAAAAAGTATGTGAGGGTGGTGTCAGACACGTATAGTGCAGTAAGACAGTGAGGACGGCAACGGTGAGATGCTTTAAGAGTAGGAGTGGGGTACGTCAGGGATCGTCTCTGAGCCTCTCCATTTTTGCGATGGCGATGGCAGGTGAGGACAAAAAGGTGGCTCCATAAATGATGATGATGAGAAGGGAGCAGGTGGAAGCTGAAGCTTTCAGATAAAAGCACCGTAAAGGTCAGAAGAAGTAAAGGAAATTTGAAGGATTAGTGCAGGATTGACAAGTCTATAAGACAGGTAGTGAGACCTGCTATGAGGTGTGGTTTGTATTAAGGGGTACTGTCAAAAAGATGATAGTGCCACCCTTGAAGGGAGTAGCCAAATGTAAAAGAGGATTAACTGTAGATGATAACAGGCTAACATTTTTTGCTGGCTTGGCTAGGCTAGTGAGCTGTGACCTTGGAAAGATTGAGCCTTTGTTGGATATGTGTTTGCATGTTTGGATGAATCTCATAACTTCCAGATTGGTACCTATAACATTTCTTGCCGTTATCTCTGTTGCTAAAGCCTTGCTCGGGAATTAATGTGTTCTTTTTAGTTGTTTTTTGATGGGTTTGTTGTGTTTAGCTTTGACTTAGAAGGGGACAGAGAGTCCTGGTTCACTTGGTTTATCCACAGGGAAGTGCCAACCACACAAACGTTTGTCTTTATCAAACCCAGTTGATCAACATCACAGTTGTTTATCCGTCCTTCAGTAAGAAAACAAAGACTTTAAATAGCTAAAATAAATAATAACACCAGAATTGCTTTCCTACCAATTCTTATTAGCAAAATTGCTATTTCTGTTTGTATTATGTAGCTACTGTGTTTCTCGTTCAATATGTCAATATGTTAAGACTCTATCACAGTGTGTTTGTTTTCAGTAGGTGAATCATTTTGTGTCAATCATGTGTAAGTTAGTTAAGTAAAACAGAAATTCTCAATTATTTTCTGTCATGCCTCCCCCCCCTTGGGGACAGAATTTTTTTCACGCCCCCCTGCCGCCTCTCTCCGACCCATACCTCTGGGAATTTAAATACTATTGAGAACCTGATAACATGTATATTTTTTTTCTCTTTTGAGAATCTGATAACATGTATATTTTTTTCTATACAGGCCACTGTATGAGTTGCTGCCACCTAGTGACTGGAGGCTTATCATTCAAGCATTACAGCAGTGGTACATTTATGTCCAGTGTATCCAGTATAGTATTGATAAAAACCCAACATTTAAATATGATAGTTTAATTCATTATTATCTTAATTATTTTTAATGATCTATTTATTTTAATTATCCTGTTATTCATTGAATAATAATTAAACATGTTCAATTAAAAATATTTTATTTTGTTATTTTTAATTTTTTTGTAAGTTCTTAAATGTTAAAAAACAGGTAGTGTTTTGATGGAGTTTTTTTTTTGTTGTTGTCTTGATTCTATTAGAGGAGGATGCTCTTGCCAATGGCCATGTAGTTGAAGATCCAGGGGCTGGCCCAGTTACACCCATCACATGTTCCGGCACTAGCTACTGGAGCATCACAGAAGGCCCAGACCAACCGCTGCTCCTCTCCCCGGCCCCTGGGCCCTCCACACAAAAGGCCAAAATCCAAAGGGCATCGCGCCCAGGCCTCAGCCGCATCCCTGGTCGGGATCACCGCAGATACTATCACGAGTACTGGCGCAGTGAGTACCTCATGGACTTCGACCCCCAGCGGCATGGGATGATCTGCATGGTGTGTGGCAGTTCGCTGGCCACGCTAAAGCTGAGCACCATAAAAAGACACATAAGACAAAAGCACCCGGACTCACTGCTGTGGAGTGACACCGACAAGGAGGTGATCCGCATGAGCTGGGAGAGCCACCTGAGTCTGAGTGGGGGTCAGAGGTCACTCAGCCCTGCTGTTGGACCTCCTGCTCAGGAAGCAGAAGAACAGCTGGAATTAAGCAAACACAGAGTTGGTGAGTTCAGCTCCACAGTGAGTGGAGCGAGTGTTGCGGGAAGTGTGGTGGAGCTCACACTTGGTGGCAGTGTGAGTTTATGTTCTGGCGTGGTATGGGAGGGTGATGTAATGTTTCACTGAGAAAGGGAGGCGGGGAGGGGAAGTGAGGACTGTGCCTGGATATAACTGGGCGTTTGTATTTTTAAGATTGCAGAAAAAGTTTTTTAAAAAAGCCCAGTAGTACAGTTTGGACAGAATAAAAATGTGTAAAAAAAGAGTGAAAATACCATGTGCAATAGAATATGTAAAATTAGAAAGCATTTCAATATGTACTCGGTTATATAGGGGTCCCTCTCAATATCGCGGTTCTCCTTTCACTCCCAAGTACATCGCAGATGTTATTCCAATCTCGCGAGAGTTTCGCTATATCACGGTATTTTTTTCTATTTTTTAAATTTCCATTATTTTTGTAATAAAAAACATTTTATATATAAAATAAAATAAAAATATATGTGTATGTAATATGTAAATATATAAAATATATGTAAATATATACAGTACGTAAATAATATAATATCTTATCTCGCCTCTACTCGCCTCAGATTTTCCCTTTTCGTGGTGGGTCTTGGAATGCAACTAATGCGATAGGAGAGGGAGCACTGTATATGTATATATGTATTTATGCATACATACATATTTGTGTATGTGTATATACACATATATATCTATATACACATGCAGAGGTGGAAAGTAACGAATGACATTTACACACGTTACTGTAATTGCATAGGTTTTGTGAGTAATTTGTAAATATTTTAAGTCGTTTTGGGAAAAGGTCATTTCATTTTTAAGTACAGTTTGACTCCAGAATTTTACTTATTTTTATTGCATCGGAAGGGCGCGTGCGGATTTCCTACTTTTGTTTTAATGTAGCTAGAGAACGTCCGCAAAGTCAACGAATTTCAGATTGGATGTATAACTCGGCCTTTTTCGAATCGAGTAATTTAACGTAATGAGTTGATGACTTTTAAGTAAATTCTAAATGAGAAAAAAAGTCATTTTTACTTTTACTCGAGTAGATCTTTAGGTGGGTACTTTTACTTACTTGAGCAGAAATTAAGCAAAGTAAAGATACTCTTACATAATTACATTTCTCTTTAGCAAACTTATGAGCATATAGCATATATATATATATAAATATTTATGTATTTAAATATATATGTGTATATATTTGTGTATATATATGTGTGTATGAATATATATGTATACTGTATGTATATATATATACATACAGTATACATATATATTCATACACACATATATATACACACACATATATATACACAAATATATACACATATATATTTAAATACATAAATATTTATATATATATATATATATAAATATTTATGTATTTAAATATATATGTGTATATATTTGTGTATATATATGTGTGTGTATATATATGTGTGTATGTATATATATGTATACTGTATGTATATATATATACATATGCTTGGTGGTGATTTTAGGGAGTGTTAGTCTAATGTCAGTTTTAAGTACAGGACAATCAAGTCTTTTATTGATTCTTAGCAGAACCCCTGGACGCTATGGCCCCACAGGACCCCTCACAGCACACCCATAGCCTGTCGCCCCTCTCGGATGTGGTTGAAGTCCCGCAGCCTTAGGAGGTGCAGCAGCAGCAGCAGCAGCAGGAGGAGGAGGAGGAGGAGCAGGAGCAGGATCTCCCCGCACCATCAGCTGAGACTCTTGAACGCTACCTTAACGACTCGCTGCACGCCTGGTTCCGCCAGGAGTTCCTGATGGAGTACGAGTCGCAGGCGGGCCGGTTGCTGTGCATGGTGTGTGGAGCCCAGCTGCCTTCACTCCACCTCGATCACATCAAGAGCCACGTCTTGGACACACACCCCGGCTCGCTGGTGTACAGCTCGGAGGAAAAACACTGCATTCTACAGGCCTGGGCTCAGGCTCACGGTAAGACAGAGGCCGCAGCAGCACAACGCTACGCAACGCACCCAGGCCAATGTCTTTGAGGAGATTTGAAGTCAACACATTCAGTTGAAATAAAATGACACAGAATTAGACTTGGGTATTGATCGTGTCGAAAACAAGAACTTTTGTTGTTCTTTGATAGTGGCAAACTGTTTGACTCGCGGGCCACAATCGTCCTAAAATTGAACAGGGGGGCGGGGTCAGGAGCAGATAGATGGAGCGTTCGTGTTAACTTAGATAAATGACATGTAAAAGTCTTGCATAAAGGCTAAAATGCTAAAATGCTTTGATCAGTTTCTATGCCATCTATTGGGGCAACGTGGGTATTGCAGGGAAAAGGCAGATAACTATAATGATAATATTATATTACATGGCATCATCCATCCATCCATTTTCATCCGATTACCGGGTCGTGGGCCCAGCAGTCTGCACAACCGCCACCCAAATCACCCTGCACCGTACCAACCCCCCTGAACCTTCCTGTGGGTGGTGAGTCCACTGGAAGGTACCAACCGTCCTAACCGGGATTTGATCTTGCCCAGGAGGTGAACTCTGGGGTTCTACACCAATGACAGAGGACATTGACTCTGGGCCAAAGAGCCACCATTACAATACATTTAATATAAATAAATTATATAATTTGGAAAGGTTTGGCGGGCCGGATTTCAAAAGCTGAACGGGCCGCATCCGGCCCCTGGGCCTTAGGTTGCCCATGCCTGCTATAGTAGAACTTTTGACTTACATCAGTATCCCATTCCCATGACATGACATAACACAAATTTCAATGAAAGTCGGAGGTCACACACTGTTAATAAGAAGCCATAATGAAGGGCAAAAAGTAAAAAGCAAACGCCATACGTCCGGATGATGGAACAATACTTTCTTAAAAGATTTATGGGAGATGGCAACGTAACCACGAAATGCCAAGGTCAAGGATGTTGTAAATTATTGGGCCATATGTGGGAGTTTTGCAGTCCAGAAGTGTGCCAGTAGTAAACAGTGGAAAGAAAAAAATAATCATTTCTATGTAGGCTTATTCATTCAACCTTTTTCTTTTTTTATCGTTGTGGTCTTCAACAGAAGAGTCTGAAAACTCAATCAAATCAGAGCCCAGCACCAAAGTAGGCCACGTCGAACTCTATGCTCAGGACGCCGAGGAGGTCCAGATCAATGCAGACTCGTACCCGCAGTCTGATGGCACTTTAACTCAGGACACATGTCTCATCGATGAGGACGGCGGTGTGGCAGCCCCGCTGCCAATCTCGAAGCTCCCGTGTCAGCCCAGGAGGAAGCGACCGCACGCGACGGCGGACCTGTGGCAGCTCCGGCTGGACTACCTGGTGGCCTACGGGCCTCATGGCCAGGACACTTACTGCATGGTGTGCTCTCAGGTCCTGCACGAAACCAAGGTGAGCAGCTTCCGTCGCCATATTCAGGAATGTCACCCCGAGACCACTGCCCTGAGCCAAAAGGAGAGGGAAGCCATGGCTGCTGCCTGGACCAAAGATTACTCCAGTGAAAACCTGCACATCCAAGATGGTGAGATCGAATTATATTTGCCTGCACATCCAAGATGGTGAGATCGAAATATATCTGTATATACATATATATATATATTTGTTACTGTCACTTATGTCAAGATGGATGCCTAATATATGATAATCTTAGAAACAGAGATGTCCTTGCCCATTTCCAAGTATTTCACGTATCTTTAACCCTTTCATGCATGACGGTCACTACAGTGGACAGCTATGAAAATGTCATTTTCTGTGATAAGGATAGGTTTTGATGGCAGTGTTGCATATAAGCCTCTACAGTGGACGCCTGAGAATCACCCAACACTGCCATACAGTGGTCAGCCTTTGCAACTGCAGAATAATTGCGTCAACATTCAAAAAGAAAATTGGGTGTATAAAAACAGAACCAAATCAGTTCTTATTTTTATGTCTAAAAACACATAAAAACACTTAGTAACATTTTAGCATTTCAGTATATCATGGGTCATGCATCAAAGGGTTAA